TTTAGAATTAAATATTAATTCTATCATTTTACATAATGAACACGAGAATAACTGTTTTACAAATTCATACAACTAGACAGATCAGTGATAAGCTTAATGCAAGTATTTCTAATAAAAATTATAAAAATTTGAAATATAAAAACAATTGAAGAAATTTAATAAGAAATTCAATGATCTTTTATAATAAAAAGCGTATAATCATTGTTCTATAAAATAAGAATGATTAGGCAAATTTCTGAATGTAAAGTTTATGTAAATTATTTCTAATGCATTAAAATTATTATTAAACATGAAAAAATTTTGCAAAATATTAAATAAGTATTATTGAATTAAATTCTTAGAAGTTAATAAAATTTAATTTTCATCATTCAACAATAGTAAATTTAATTTATTAATGCAATGTACAGAAAAGAAAACTAGTAATACAAAAAGAAGAGAGAAGAAAATTTTGAGAAAAGGCTTGTAAAAATGAGACAAATCGAAACATTGATTAAATGAGGATACAATTGAAGATGAATGATTATAAATAAAAACACAGTACAGAATCGATAAAATGGTGGTTTGGCATCTGAAAAGGATGAATGATGAAAGTTTCAGAAAGAATTCCTGAGCGAAGAAAAGACGAAAAGTGTCTAAGGAGAAGACCAGAATGGAGTGACATGGTTAAGAAAGCCTGAGGAAAAAGTCACAGATACAGAACTCTCAAGATATTGTCGAAAAGCTAGAATGGAGTTTCCTAGTTTTCAATTCTGTTGAATGAAAGTTTAAAAGAGAAATTTTAGTCTGTTAAAATGACATTAGGAATTATATACACATTTTTCTTCTGAATTGCTGTTTTCTTTTCTCAAAAAATTGAATTTTGAAATGAAAATAGAAACAAACATACTTCCGATTAAAGAGGAATATATATATATATATTCCAGTAAAGGTTCTATTTGTTTTTACTGCATTTATTCGTATTCATTTTTGTTCGTATTCAAGCACAAATTGTTGTAATTAAAGGAGAACTAATCGAATTTTAATAATAATTTCTTTTATAGAAATTTAGATCAATTTATTAATTATCTTTTAATTATTATTAATTGGCGAGATTGTGTTTTTGACACGTTAAAAATTATTTTAATTTTTAAAATTTAAGATAAAAAAATTAACTAAAATTTATTTATAAATTACTTAATAAAGAATCACTTAAAAATTAATATATTATTTTACTACTTAATTAATAAAATTCAGAAAATGTACGTTAAAATGTTTAGAAAAAAACAGATATTGTTTCAAATTTTTTAAATTTATTAATTATTGTTCACATAAGAATAAATAAATAAATAAATAATAAATAAACGTTTTGTAAATAAATAAATCACGTTGATCATTAAGTATTACAAATGTCATTTGGAAAAATTTTGGCTTTTCTTTTCATTCATAAAGTTCTTCTACGAATGTTTGAAGATTTTCGAGTTCTTCAGTTCTTAATAAAGCCTCAACACATCGAGGAAAATAAGAGTTCTTGAAACAGTTGGACCTGTTAAATCATTTTAACATTAATTAAAATTTCCTGATGGCATTATATTAAACTTAATTACATTAAATTAAGTTTCCTGCCGTGATTTTACAGTTTAAAATTACTTGGAAAATTTTCAATTAAGTATATTTTTCACTTATACTTTATAAGTATTTATTAATATTTAAGAATTTTAAAATAACTTCTTAAAATAAACCATTTTAACCAAAAAATTGTATTTACATTTTTAATTAAAAAAATATAGAAAAACTTTTCTAGTTATATTTTCTAAAGAAAAGAAAAAAAAAAGTATCGATTTATCACTTACTTGCATCCTCTTAATACTTCCGGTTCTCTGTATAGTTTGAAGCAATCTTCACATATTCTGCTAACTACATTAAATTTATGTTTGTCGAAAGTACCCATGCAACCCAATGTTACAAAATTAGTCTGTCTTTTTACTTCTCTCCCTTGAATTATGATCAAACAACAGAAAATAAAGAACAAACAAAGGGCACATCGAGCCATAGTTACCTACAGGAAATAAAAATATTTATATGTTAATATAATAGAAGTATTTATTCAGAAATAAATAAAATATAATTTGTTTTAGAATATATTCAAACTTTTAATAAACTCTAATAATTAGTTAATTAAAAATATAGATTTACATTTTCAAGTAATTATGAAGATTGCACTTAATAATTAGTAAATTAAACGTTTAGATTATAAACTTTCTCAGAAGTTATAATATGAAATGAATTAACTTTGCAGCAAAAAACAAATAAATATTTTATTAATTTATAGAAAATTAACATAAAAATTAGGAAAATAATTTATGCTATTGACGATAGAAAGCGTGAGATCTGAACTACATGAATTGAGCTTACCTTGTATCTCAGACTAATGTCAGTATGACTTAGTATGAAAATATTGGAAGATATCGCTTGATAATTGAAGCATGTCTATGTTCTGGGTTGTATTTATCTACCAAGATCTGATATTCTATTGGAGAAAAGAGGATACTCCCACATCAGACTGTGACATCACATCGTGGCGTCATATCCTTAATGACTTCTGGGAAAAATAGTTAATCTACGATGTTTAACTAGATATGAATCGTGACTGGAAGCATGGACTATTTCTTGGATAATAAGTAATTATATCATTAGTAATGATTTAATTACTAATGTAAATGATTTAAAGAGCTGAGTTTAAAAATTTCCACTATATTTTTATGTTATTTGATTGCAAAAGTCGTTTTGTTACGTGACAATATATTGTAATTCAAAAGATGCCATTTTTATTTAATAAAATACTAAATGCTTAATTACATGATCTTAAATTAAATATTATAAGATAAACAATTATAAGAAGTCTAACAAAAATTTTAATTGTTATCCTTTAATACTTTTTATTTACGAAAAAAGTGTTTAAGCTCATTAAGACTCATTTGTAAATTTAGAAGTTCTTAATAAAAATAAGCAAATAATGAAGATTAAATGAGTTAAATATAAATAATTTTGATAAAGTTTTGTACTTGAAAAAACATTTTAAATTACATTTTTTCTTAACAAAGTTTTTCGATTATTTTAATAACTAGATCTAATATTTAAATGAATATAAAGACCATCTAACTATACTTGACCTAGTATAAATTTTTTAGAATTAAATATTAATGTTAACAATANATTAAGATATATAATAAAGTTAATGGAATAATCAAACAAAAGTTTTGGTAAATAAAATACCATTCAGACTAAACTGTAATTACACATCATCTATGAAACTGCTTTCTCATATGACACGAGGCACCAAAACAGATATTTAAATACAGAAAGCTACTCATACGAGATTCGTCAAACCTGTTTTAGACTTCACTAACATAGATTGGTAGGAAAATTTAGATATTAGAAGAGAATCTAAATACGTATAATATTCAATATAGTTGATAACATTAAATCATATCAGATAAAATGGAAAGATCATTCATTAGAATGAACGACAGCCGTTTATGGAAATTGTTTATTGAATGTTTAGATATTGTATCATGGAAAAAACCTCGAGTATAAATAGAACAGATTTTAAAATAAACCGAAATTTTTCATGATAACGATAATACTTTTGTACAAATTAAAAGTTAAAATGTAAGAAGTTTAAATTTCAATGGTATGAAAAACATCTCTAGGGAATTGAAGATAAACGTAAATTATAAAAACTCAATAAGTTTTTAATAAAATATATGTTTTCTTAATGTTTCTATTAAATTTTGCTTTGTTTGTATAAAGCAACGCGACACCTTCCAGAAATACTTTTTATGGGAACTGGCCCTTATTTAAGTGTTACTCGTACAAACGTGAAAGAAAATTCCAAGTGGACGGTCCGTTGGAGAGACACGACAAATTTACCAGTGTTCAGTGATTTTAACGGAAATGCCTACATGGCCACTGGTAGGCGTTTCTGTTAATTTATTTTAAATACTGTAAATAATAAGAAACCAAGAAAGACTTTATGACTTTTTCTTCCTTAAAAGAGCCTTTCTTCAAGAATCATCGCGTGTTTAACCATGCCCACAATGGCACAGGTAATGAGGGATCGGACAGGAAACTCATAAACATTTCTACAGTTGCTTGCCCGGATTCGATCCCAGGTGCCCAGAGTGGTAGTTTAAATACTTCACAGCCTTTTCCATCTGGCAGGTAATATAAAATATTTTGTTAATATCTGAATAAAGCTGAATTTTGTTTTTAAGAATTAAACGTAATGAATATTCCAAATTATAGTTTCATTCCAAGTAATTCATGATTTTACCATTTATGTTTGGCATTCAGATACTTCTATTGAGATTATTTGAATACATATTGTATCTAGAAAGAAAATGTGGTAGAGGGACAAAATTTAAATGTTTAGTAAATTTTTTTCTTTTTCATATAATAGTCAAACTTTATCATTTGAACGAAATCTTTTAATGGCTTTTAATTGTTTTAAAAATGTTCTAACAATATTAAAACTGACGAGGATGATGACAGTGCTTCCCACTTGCAATTACCACATCTTGTATTGAAGTTAAACTTTCTTATTCAGCAGATTAAATAAATATCTACCAAACTAATTCGTTAATAGTCTTAATCTTTTCTTGTGGACTTAATTATTTTTCTATTAATCATTAATCAACTTCATATGAAAAGATAAGAAACGCTGGTGGTTTGATATTGCCATATCTTGTTTGTTTAGAAGAATATAAAAAGTTGTAAATGTGCTTTTAGATGAAATTTACATAAACCATTCTAAATCATAAAGAATGCCATTTATTGGTACATCTGCCATCTCATTGTGCTATCTCTACTAAACACCTCAGTGAATTGGAAACCCTGTAGATTTTTAAAGCCTATCAACTTGCAGAATTTATTAGTTATAAAGAAGAAAAATGTATTTCTCATGCATGGCAAGTACATTTTGATAAACATTTATAATTTTAGTACATCGTTCTTATACACACATCTGATTTGCGTTTTTGAATTTGAAATACATCGTGTTCTTCGGACGTTTCCATTTTTTCAAATAATACCTGAAGAAGCTCGAAAACGTTTGTTTTATAGAGAAATAAAGCTGCCGGACTAGATAAAGGTACCGTGGTTATTTATCTAATTGCTGATGTTGATGATATACCAATATTTAGCTATATTAGACTAATATTAGATATACTGTATATATATTTGTTTTTTACATATAGTTAAGTAGCTGACTCTTTCTTTGTAAATTAAATGTATTTAGTGTTGATACTTTATAAATTTGAGTTTAATTTAAACATATACAATGTACTGTACAGTACCAGAATATGACATCATCTTAACGTATGTTTTCAATCTAAACTGAGCTTGAAAGATGTAATGTGTGACGTTATACAGTCGGGTATCTGGCCTACATTACAAAAATATACATTTTGATATCAAAATTATAACGATATGAGCTTGCAAAATATTGACATACAGTTCGATTCTTATTTTTCCAAATGATAAAAAGTTATATTTATGTACTGTACACTTATAAACATAAAAAATAAGTAAGTTTTTAGATTGCTAAACGACTAATTGCTAAACGACTAAAACGTCATTTTATTAGGAATAAAATATTAAGTTTTAGAAATAAATATTATGTTATCTTTTTAAGTCTATTTGCCAAGGAAACAATATTTTTCGTAAATAACAAAAAAACTTTTTTTCAAATTTTATTGCATGACAAATTATTTAAAGAAATTTTTTAAATTATTCATCAAAATTATAAATAATGAACTTTACAGATTAAAAGTAATGAAAATTTTTATAACATTTAATTCCTAAAGAAAAAATATCATTTTATATAATAAATATTTGCTACTAATTTTGTTTATTAAATTTCTTGACTTTGCTTATACTAAGTATGAAAATATAAAGAGTAAGTTTATAGTGAATGAAAAATTAATTTATTAAAATCTGTATGTAAAGTTTCTCTTAAATACAAACAAAATCTTCTTAATATGTCTTTATTTTATTAAGTAACAAAGCAGAATGTAGCAGCTGGTTGAATTTCTAGAAAGGCATTGTTAAGTTTGTAATCAGTAATTTCTAAAAATAAAAATAACAATAAAAAATGCATAATCATTTAAAATAAACATTTTATTTAGAATTTTAATTAAATATATTTTAATTCTTCAGATCTTTTCATTCTTTATTCTAATAATTTTGTTTGTATTTAACAATTCAGTTTTGTTTTCTTTATATTTTATAAAGAAAACAAAACTTTATAAGAATTTTAAAAAGAAAAAAGAATTTNATAAAAAAATTAACTAAAATTTATTTATAAATTACTTAATAAAGAATCACTTAAAAATTAATATATTATTTTACTACTTAATTAATAAAATTCAGAAAATGTACGTTAAAATGTTTAGAAAAAAACAGATATTGTTTCAAATTTTTTAAATTTATTAATTATTGTTCACATAAGAATAAATAAATAAATAAATAATAAATAAACGTTTTGTAAATAAATAAATCACGTTGATCATTAAGTATTACAAATGTCATTTGGAAAAATTTTGGCTTTTCTTTTCATTCATAAAGTTCTTCTACGAATGTTTGAAGATTTTCGAGTTCTTCAGTTCTTAATAAAGCCTCAACACATCGAGGAAAATAAGAGTTCTTGAAACAGTTGGACCTGTTAAATCATTTTAACATTAATTAAAATTTCCTGATGGCATTATATTAAACTTAATTACATTAAATTAAGTTTCCTGCCGTGATTTTACAGTTTAAAATTACTTGGAAAATTTTCAATTAAGTATATTTTTCACTTATACTTTATAAGTATTTATTAATATTTAAGAATTTTAAAATAATTTCTTAAAATAAACCATTTTAACAAAAAATTGTATTTACATTTTTAATTAAAAAAATATAGAAAAACTTTTCTAGTTATATTTTCTAAAGAAAAGAAAAAAAAAAGTATCGATTTATCACTTACTTGCATCCTCTTAATACTTCCGGTTCTCTGTATAGTTTGAAGCAATCTTCACATATTCTGCTAACTACATTAAATTTATGTTTGTCGAAAGTACCCATGCAACCCAATGTTACAAAATTAGTCTGTCTTTTTACTTCTCTCCCTTGAATTATGATCAAACAACAGAAAATAAAGAACAAACAAAGGGCACATCGAGCCATAGTTACCTACAGGAAATAAAAATATTTATATGTTAATATAATAGAAGTATTTATTCAGAAATAAATAAAATATAATTTGTTTTAGAATATATTCAAACTTTTAATAAACTCTAATAATTAGTTAATTAAAAATATAGATTCACATTTTCAAGTAATTATGAAGATTGCACTTAATAATTAGTAAATTAAACGTTTAGATTATAAACTTTCTCAGAAGTTATAATATGAAATGAATTAACTTTGC